CCACTGGGATTACAGGCATGTGCCACCATACCTGGCCTGATGAAGGATTTTTCTTTCAAAAAGTGAATACTAGAGTTGAAAGCAAATGTGTTAAAATGGGGTGTGCTCAGAGCAGGGGCCTGAAGAGTGGCTGCTCTGTTTATAACACACCCAATAGGAATCTGGGGCCATTGTGAGGAGGGGCACAAGATATGTGTCCTTCTATGAACAAATGCCCTACATATAGGGAAAAAGAAAAGAAAGAAAAAAAAAATGCAAGTGCCTTTTGGCTTACTCAAATAAAGGACAATTTATTTATCTGTCAAATGAAAATTGAACTGTTAACTCCAAATCACTTTCCTAGATCCAAAACAATGAGCAGCTCACTTCAGGCAGAGGGCTGGGGGACAGCTGAGTGGCAGAGTGCTTGCTTTGTGTGCAGGAGGCCCCTGGTACCATCTTCAGCCCAGGGAAAAAAAAGAATTTAGGTTAGTTCTGGACATCATCTTGCTGTGTGGAATGCATTTGCTCACAGCTGAGATGAAACCAGCAACCAAAGCCCAGTTTTATCTGTGAACAGCAGATAGGGTAAGTAGTTCAGCATTTTTCCAAATGGGAGTAACGTTCATTTTCTGCTTCAGTCATTCATTGACCTGTGGAATACTTGCAAAGGTGAGCATGGTGTGTCCTGTGAATGTTTCTCAACCTTTTAAAACATGTCTTCTTTTAAAAAATGTGGAAATTTTGTTTTTTTCTATGGCCAGTAATAAACTTTTCCCCCTAAAATATTTACATAACCAAGTCCCCTTAACTCCTTAGTTGAATAAAGTTAATCACACCTATATGTGGCCTACAACTGGGTCATGGTTTTAGACGTGGGGGATTCTCTTGGGGTCTGGGTATAGTGTTTTCACTTATTTCTGACTTAAGCATCTCTGTAATATTTGCTGTATTCTTGTCATCAAAACCATTTCCCCATGATAGTAATTAACTATATTGCTACTGGAAGCTTATTTGAGGGGGTAAACCCTAACAAATATTTTGTAGTTGTGTTCATATACTTAAGAGAGAGGTAGAGTACAGATAAAGTTTGTTCAGAAAAAGTGAAAGACTTAGAGTCTCAATTGCAAAATTGTTTGGGAGTTAATTTTTAGTCTCATTATTGTATCAACTGAAACATTTCATAGCAGTGGAATAAAGTGATTG